AACACTTTGAATACTTTTCAATAACAAAGCCCTAGGAAAATTGCAAATCAGCTATAAAATGTTAAAAAGACTAGGTCAAAATGAAAAAAAATATTTAAAAAATATATTAAACATTTTTTTAAAATAGCAAACAATGTTTATCAATTGGAAATATGGTTATATTTATTCAATAGTAAAACCAAAGCTATAGAAATATGATCTTTTAAATACAAGATCTATTGTATTATTAGAAGTTATAAGAAAATGTTTCACTAAAATTCTAACAAATAGACTAAAAAATATCTGCAAGCTTAACAATGTTCTGAAAGATCCTAACTTTGCAGAACTACCGAAAGAGAGTACTACAAAATCAACCCAAATTTTTAACAATATCTATAAAGATGTAAGAGAAAACAAGAAAAAGTTGTGGATACTTTTTCAAGACACAGCCAAGACCTATGATACAATCAGCTTGAACATGTTAATAAGTGCTTTGAAAAGGATCAAACTTTTAGAAAGGTTTATTAAGATTATAATAGGTCTGTTTCAGGATAAGAAATTTAAATTATAATTGAAAATAAGCTCACAAGACCAATAATAGTTGGAGATGGAATTTATCAAGAAGAAACTATTTTATCTTTAATATAGAAAATTTTTTATGATCCTTTGTTATGCAAAATTCAAAATAATGAAACAAAGTAATATGAAATGTCAGTTATCTGGGATTCAAGTCTAAAAGAAGAAGGAGTCAACAAAAAATTGAAATCTAGGCATATAGCTATCACCTTATAAATGGTACTATATAAGTAGCAAGATCCAAAGAAGACATAGAAAAGATTCTTGAAAAAGCAAGAATCTTTTATAGAACCAATGACTCTCAAATTAATAGTAACAAATTAGTACTAGTTACTATTAATAATCTTAATTACTATCCAGAAGAAGTTAAAGCAAGAATCAATAGAGAAACAGTTGGAAAGCTAAATAAAACTGAATATATAAGATTCCTGGGGATCTGGAATAGTAATTAAAGGATAATAGTTGAACTAAAAAAACTAATACCCAAAGAGATCAACATAATTATATAAGTCCTTAAGAATAAAAGATTGACTAACAAACAAATACTCTATATTTTAAATAGGATTTTGATATTAATGATAGAGTTTCATATGCAACATAATATGCTATTCTAAAAAATATGCAATACTTTAACTATACATATAGAAAGCTTCTTAAAAACAAAAGTAATTTGTGCAGATCTATACCCAACAGTGTAGTATACTATCCAAAGATCTATAACTTAAAGAGTATTTGAATACTATAAAAAAAAAAGTCAAATAATAGGACTATTTAACAGATTAAATGATTCAAGATCAGCAGGACTTATAATAGTCATAAGAATTAAACAAGTACAAGTTAAATACTGAAAACTACTCAATCTACTTACCTGTGAGTTATTAGATCATATATCAGGTAGAAGTAACTTTACACTTCAAGTAATAAAGTTAACTAAAGATATAGGAATAAGGTTTTAAAGCTAGAAATTGAAAGACATTTTTGAATAGAACAAAGATAACTGCTCAATCAAAGAGTATTTAATATCAGATGAATATATAAAAGCTATATCATTACTTAAAAACAATAAGCTGATGTATATAGATCAGCTAATCACTCACAAAACTAAAGAACTAAAAAGATAGTGAATAATTCAACTAATTTAAAAGATCAGTAAGGGACCCATTTCAGAATAGTATCTAGCAATAAAAAAAAGTATAAAAGAAAAAGGATTAGAACAGTTTACAAGATTCTGGAAAGAAGATTGATTAAAATGTGAATTAATAATTACAAAGATAAATTCAGATCGTGATAAAAAATAAACACTCTGGATAGTAATAAGTAATAGGTATCAAAAAATACTATAGGGAAAGCTAAGGTCAGAAGATATTAAGCAAGTAATATAAATAGAACACTTCAAGTGTACTGAGTTCTCAAATAATCAAGAGACTAGTCTGACAAAATATTTAGGATATGTAGAAGGTAAAAACATAAGAGTTAATGTATAATAGAGATAAAAAGTAAATAAAATATATAAAGTTTTTTATCTAAATACAAAAAAATCCATAAGAAGAATTCAGCAATTAAATATTCCAAGTTCCAAAATAGTTTTAGAAAAAACAATAGAAAAAACAATTCAAGATGATTACAAATTCAATATGAACTGTAGAGCAAGTCAAGTAGATATAGAGAATTGAAAAGAGCAGATTATTAAAAATAGTATAAAAGAATGAATATATTAAAACCACCTAATTGAAATACTTCAACATAATTAATAGTTCAAAAAAATATTATTTTTTACTCTAATGGATCTCTTATTGATTATGAATATAAAAAAATGAAAATAAGAATAATATGAATACAAATAGAAAAAAAGGATAGAAAGTAAGTTTCAAATGGAAGTAGGTAACTGGCCATTATTCACTAGAGCAGAATTAGTAGCAATATTCACAATATTACTAATTATTCCAATAAACAATAAGAACAAGATTTTTATAGATAGTCAAGCCTGTATTGACAAGTAAAAAATAATAGAGAAAGAGGATCCTAGAAGATTTTATAAAAGATGGTTAAAGGAAAAAAATTGATTTCTGTGGATAAGAATATTAAATATTGTTAAAAAAAAGAATTGATCTAGAACTGATTAAGATCAAAGTACACTCTAATAACCTATACAATAAAAAAGTAAATACTCTAACAAAAGAAGACTTAATTCTCCCTGTAATTGAATAAAAAAATCTTACTTTATTCAAAATTATTATCAAAATCAAATAACATGAAATAACTTTAAATAATCCCATAAAACAATTTATTAAAAACATAAATAGCAAAGTTATAGCTCATCAATTGATAAAATAAAACAACATTTCGAACAAATAAAATCAACAGATTCAAGATCAATATGACTGTACATGAAACTTGATATGGGAAAGGATGAAGAATTGATACACTTGAAATATCTCCTTTAAAGATTTTCAAAAAAGAAGCTTTCTTATCAAATTATTAATAAAGAGTTATCAACGCTTTTCAAATTGGCCATAAGAAGACCAGATCTATATAAACAAGTAAAGTGTATAGCATGCAAACAGCAAGTAAAAACAATAAAACACTTACTAGAATGTTCAGCATATAAAATTCAATAGTAAGAAATTTGGAACAAAGAAGTTGAATTCATTTTAAAAAACTTCAAAAATTTCTGTATAAGAGAAAAAAAGAGATGGAAAAGAAAGAAATAAGACTTCTAGTTGAAGATAGAATAGAATTAAGAGAATTGGACAAATATATGGTTAGACTTATAGAAAAGACTATAAAAACAGGTCAGAATATGCTAAACTTTTGTATAGAACTAATATGAAGTAATAGATATTGAAAATGTCAAATCTAAAATGTTACCAAAAAAGAATAAGTAAAGAAGTTTAAAAGTGAATAATTAAAATGCAGAAGGAGGTTTGCAATCAATTCTGAAAGAAAATTTGAAATGAAAGGGGTTCAAGAATGATCTAATGGAATAAACACAAGAGATCTATAGAGAAGATAAAATAAAAAAATTAGCCAATCCATTAAATTAGAACAATAAGATCACAACTATAAAAAGATCCTTACAGGAAGAAGAAAAACTTGAAGATAAAGGTTTGAAATAAACCTTTCTAGAAGGAATACAGTATGAAATAAGATGGTTAGGATTTAATTTCTGTCAGAACTTATAAGGAGGATTTGCAGTAGTGATCTGCAGGCAATGAAATTAGTAGTTGGAAAGGTTTTTACCTGAGCTACTAATGGAGCAATAAATCACTCCCAAAGTTGCACTTAGAGTGATAATAACCAAGACGAGTGAGCTAATTAGAAATTTAGCTTTAGTGATTTATTTTACATGTATAGTATATTAATGTTTAATAAAGCACACATAATTAGCCTAACAGAGGGTAAAAAAAAAAAAAAAAAAAACAAATCACAGGTTGTGCTTGCAAAAAAAAAAGTGTTGGATTAAAATAGATGTATTGAATAATGAATTGATTTTAGCAATACAATATATAAGGTATACAAATTGCTAAAAAAAATGTATCTATCTAATCTGTTAACAAAAAAAAATTTTTTTAAAAAAAATACTGTTGAAAATTTTAATTGTAATATACAGTATAAAAAGTTCTTAAAGTTTAAATTATAAACTTTTTTGCATGCAACCTTTTTTTTTTGAAGAAAATCAACCACCACTCTTATGAAAATAAAAAAAAAACCTTTAATGTAAAAATGAACATTTATTGCAAAAGAAACGATATGATCATTGTTTTAATAAGATCCAGTAAAATAGGAATAAACAGCTCAAATGGTTGAAATACTATAACTATTTGGATATTGTTGCATATTGCGCGTGGTTTTGCAGGATCTCTGTCTTTCTCAATATAATAAAGACCCGGAAGAGAATTGAGGTTATTGGTAAATTTCCACAATGATAAATAGAATCAACCGCAATCACTCAAGGATAAAATAAATGTGATATTTTAAATGGAAATATACACAAGTTTTCAAAATTGTAATCAAATGTTAATATTTTCAATTCATTGAAGGAAACAACTTGTTAAATATAAAACATTTACATGAACCCGAGTCGAAATAAATTTTTTAGCGAAGGTTGAAGGAAAAAAAAAAATAATACAAAAAGGTAAGAGTTATTCTTTTTAGATAATCTCTACCAAGAAAAATATAATAAAACAAACGCTTATTTAAAATATAGAGTATAAATACAGAAATATAGACAAATAATCTCACGTCCTTAAATTATTTATTCATTCTTCTTACCCGACCACCGATTGACCCTTTCAATAAAAGGTTCAATAAATTTCTGATCTCCCGGACTGGCTATACCAGTTAAGTGATTATAAGTTGCTAATAGCTATAAAAAAAATAATTTTTAAGAGTTTTGAGTTTATATTATTACCGCATAATTCAATAACGGCTTTTTAGAATAGTACCTGATTTCTCAATTGATCTTGATATTTCACTTCACCAAATCCAGTATTAGACAAGTTATCCACATTTTCAATACTTGACACAATAGCATGCAAAATTTTGCAAAGTATGGTAACATCCCCATATTTTTCCCGAGTCATCGGCGTGGCTAATGCTAAGCATGCATTAATCCTAACTTTGAAGTTTTTGGAGGTTTGCACTACTCTGATCAAAGATTCGTAAAGTTGTGTGGACCAGTGGTTCTTGGTGCCAATGGGAAAACTTGGATTATGTAACATGTTTGCGGCTGCATAACAAGCATTCCAGCGAACCTGCATAAAAGGTAAAAAGTGTTTATGGGGATACATATGCGCTCGAGTGATGTCGAAAAAGAAATACCTTTAGTGAACCTCCTTCAAAATTCTTAATCAAGACCTGCACGACTTCTTTAATTAACCCTCTTTCTTCTCTAGCAAGAAAATTTGCAGGACTGACATGAATTATACTTCCCAAAGTTCTGACACCGTTAGGTCTAACCTAAAAAGATTTGTTTTTTTTTTTTTTTTTTTATAAGAATCGAATAATAATAAGATAGCAAGTTAAAACAGTATAAATTCAAACCTTGTCGTTATCGTTCGAAGCATTTAGCCCTGCTTTAACGATCCTAGCCCACATAACATTTATCAAGAATTCATTTAAATTGGTGTTTCTGATATTAGAATTTTCTGGGTTACTGTATCGATTTAAAACTATTAATTATTTATGAGACACGTGATCGAGAATAAGCGGCCAATGCATAATTGAAGACCTACCTTAATACGACCATTGTATCACACAAATTGCCTAAAGCCCAACTACTTCTCACTCGTACTAATAAGTGCGAATCAGACATTTGCTGAATGGCGGCATATGCCATGTCTGTTGCAAATTTAGTGTCCTTTTTTGGTTAAGTAACACAAATAACATCAGCGTGAAAAGACTTTAGAATAAATAAAGTAGAAAGACCGAAACGCGTACCTGTTGTAGTTCAGGAAACAAAATGTAAACTCCCAGACCGCGACAAGCGGCAGCTCTAACATTTGCACTTTCATCTTTAGAGAATCCGAGTAAAGTTTTGATACAAAAGTTTTTCTTGTCATTCTAATAATTTAATAAAAAAGAATAAATGCAGAGCCAATTGCAATTGTGCCGAAGAGGAAAGAAACGATCGAGCACTTACAGGCATTGGTGCAAATATATTTGAAGGGATATATGATATGAAGTCACACGACAAAGCTCGTATGGCATGACACTTGTCGACGGTGGTAATTTGAATATGATTAGATAACACGGTGGTCCACCATTGAAAAACTTCCGGCATAACGACATTTTGAAATTGCTGAATCTTATTGGTTAAAATAGTGAATAAATTTATTTTGCAAATATATTCTCAATTGCAAACAATAAATTCGGGAGGGGAGATCAAATACCACAATTCCGTCTTCTTCAGAATCACCTTGGCGACTTCCACATGCTGCAGCCAACTCTCTAGCATATTCAACCAAAAAGTTCATCGCCGCAGTTCTTATGTTTGCATCTTCGGCCTCGAGATCTCCCTCAATCAATGGACTAATTTTGAGCCACATAGGGCTGATATGCATTCAGAAAATAATGTAAGTTTTTGTAAAAACAATAGAAGAAAAACGCACATATCGAAATTAACTTGATCTTTACCTCACATTCACGAAATGAGATCTCGTACACGCGCACAAAACACCCCACGCTTCAATCCTTATCGATATTGATTGGTTGGTATTCCCGATCAACTTTACGAGGAAAGTTAGAATATTAATGACCTCCAGGCCTTGAGAATAATTTTGTTTGGCGCGTGTTGAAACGTCGTTGATGATGGTAGCTCGTAAAAGGTTATCTACTTCCTCGACACATGACTTACATTCCACAATACTTGATATTAACGTCATGGTCATTATCTTGACATTTGTGTCTGATTAAATTGAAATAATAATTTTATGTACCATTGATAGAACCAAATAAAGGAGTCGAAGGTACTAACCATCACTGTTGAGGAACCTCACTATCGCGTAATAAAGACGGGATAAATATCCTCCTGACAATCTTTCATAGGTAGTATTATTAACTAGAACATTGCAGCACTGTAAGAGGACGATTGTTAGGCATATCATTTTTAGAGACGTCACAAAGTCAGGGAAACTAACCTTTAACAAGTAAATTAGGATGTTGCTTTGATTCTCCTTGGCAAGTATTTGTAACAAGCCGGCGTGTAGTTCCCTTACAATAGCGCCCAATTTGGCGGATAGGGAAGTGAAAGAAGATTTGATTTCTCTAATTGTTTTATAATTAATATTTAAATAGAGTAGCTGCATATAGTGATAGTACTAAAGGGGTTTTTCTTTTTTTTAAAAAGCGTATCAAGCACGAACCTATCATCAGCTGCCGCCAAATATTGTTTTGAACCATCGATCATTGAGGTTATAGTAGAACACGCGGCGATACGTATTGCCGGCGTGGATTCGTAGGAAATTAAAGTGAGCAGTGAAGGTACCGTTGATAAAGAAGCATGCGTGTCAGGAAGGAAATTATTCCAATATGGATATAGTAGTTTCGCTGAGGACTATGCAAATATTATTAATGATATTCAACGTAAATGAACGATCATGCGGTAGTTTATTTTTTCGTACTTTCGCAATGCTTTGAAGACAGCCAAGAGCATTTTGCCGGATCCTAGAATCCTCTTGCCTATTAAAATACAAAGATCACGAATTTACGATGCGATTATTCAATCTCAAGTCCAAAATCATACGTGCATACCTTCTACGATTATGCGTGAATTCACTGTCAGATAATTCAGAATCGGAGCTCATCCATGTACGTCCAAGCGACCTGGTACGAACGTGCCTACCTTGAGTTGGCGACGCAGGATTACTGTTTTTTCTCATATTACCACCCCCCCTTAACATATCTATCGGAAAATTCGATTCACATTAATAAGAATCAAGCATAGGAAAATACCAACGGAATAATACCTGAATTTTGTTTCAATTCGTTCACATTGAAGAATATGCACTTTTTGATAGCTTCAATCGTGGGACGAAACGGTTCGGCCAACACACTTTTATCTTCATTTATGACCAATTGCAGCGACCTAAGCGTACAACTAATAACCTACGAACATATTGTAAGGACATTTGTCAAAATATCACAAGAATTCTTTCGACTTTCGAGTTTGAAAGTTACCTTTAATAAGGCACTATCATCTATTGTGATGTCTTGCGTGGACAAGTTCTCCAAGAGGACGTCGTATATGTTTTTATATTTCCCTTGTAGTTTTGCACCGCTACGAAAGCACAAATTCCCAAGACAGTTAATCGCCATACGTCTGACCTCATAATTTGGATTATCGTATCTTGCGACAGGAAGAATTGTTTGCAAAATTTTCCCGTGAAGCTATTGGTGTTGCACAAGCAGAGAATCATGAGTAAAAGACAAATCGAAAAGGCTAAGCTTAATATAATTATATGAATGATGAACCTTTTGACAGTTGGCACCATTTTCTATCAGTACTTGACTTAATGCTCTCAAAATATCAACAACATACACGGGTTGGGCGGCTCTCGTAAATGCGTTAATCAAAAAGTTGACCAATAGATCCAGTGGAACTTGGCCGTCATTAATTTTTGCATTGAGGTTAACCTTGTAAACAATAAATCGATTAGACCCAATCCGAACAAAAAAAAAAAAAAAAAAAAAAAAAAAAAAAAAAAAAAAAACATCTCCGTTAGAAGGAAGCAGCCCAGTACCATATGTTTGCTGCAGAAGGTAAATATGACTCTGCTAAATTTCGAGGCGACGTGCTCTTCCCCAGGGTTGATGGCATAACATCCGGCTATCAACAAATCTAATAGGTCATGTTCGAAGGTATTGCTTGTATTTAGATTTGTCGATATTAGAACTTCCAGAATCTGATCAATGTCTGGTACGTTTTCATTTCCCGGTAATAATTTGGAATTTGACGAATCGCCGTTAGTTAAGTGGTCAGGGTTACTCGAAGCGCGATTGCGTAAAGTTGAAGGGTAATTGGCGCGAAGAACTTTTCGAGATATGTCGTTAAATGAATATGTTGGTTGAATTATTTGAATAGGTGGAGCGGGACGAGAATTCTTGGAGACCTGAGGGAGGTTGGTCGTGATGGTCATTTTTAACCGATGTCTTTAACAATTTCGAACTGACGGGTTTGACTGTTAGGAGAACAAGGGTTGTCTCCGAGAGAGATGGTGGTCATCGAACTTACTTATCCCTAAATTTCACGAACAAAAATAGAAAGGAGGACAATGGTTGTGCTACCATGGTGTAATTCCTGACAATCATTCAATTATTGTTATTACTGTACATGTACATCCAGTACTAATGGCGTAATGCCAATTAGTTTATTCCGAACAAAACTTAAAAACGAGAGCTAGGAATTTATTATTCATTGATAAAATTAAAAATAACAATAGTAACGTATCTCTCTCTCTCTCTCTCTCTCACTCACTCTATTTTTTATTCTAAAATTCTTTAATAATAATCAAATATGGCTAATATTCTGAAAATCACATTCAACTTGAAATTTTATGAATTCAATATTGCGTATTGGATTTTTTCTTCTTCTTCTTCTTCTTCTTCTTCTTTTACTTAAATTTAATGGTTTTCAAATTAGAATAGATAAAGATTGATGATAAAATCATATAACCAAGCCTTGCTACAAATTTTCAAAAGATTCAAAGTAAACAAATTGATAAATTTTGAAATAACGAATTTGATTTAAATTAATCCAACAAATTCAACTTGAATTACAGTAATACAAATAATTGTTCTCATTTCTCATTTCAACTGCTTATTTTCAAGTTTCAAATGTCGAGTAACCAATAATTTGCACAATCGAAAATTCGCGTTATTTAGTATTTCACGCGATCAAATTTATGGGTTAATATGATAATCTTGATAAAATAAATTTAAATCCGAATCGAATTCAAATTTCAAAAATCGTTGTTATTTAAAGGTTTCTACTTAACTTATCTACGGCAAATGCAGTTAAACAAATATCACAAGATTTAATTAATATCTAAATAAGACTATATAAATTAAGTATTTAAAAATTGCAATATTTCAAAAATAAAAATAAATAAATAAAAATAAATAAAAATAAAATAAAAATGTAAAAAATAAGATTTGCCAAATTTAGGAAACAGAGCAGACTATGTCATGTGAAACAGCGTATGGTACATTTCACATTTTGCGAATAACGAATTTACCCCATGCAACCTTAATAAAAATAGCGAGTTAATGGCGTTCCCCGCGTTCATTTCATTGTGCTGATGGTTACAAAAATAGCTAGATCATTTATTATGAGACGTTCATTAGAAGTTAATTAAACGATCAAGAATGTAAACTAAATTGGGTGCACTTTTGTTTTTGCCTTTATTTGTACAACCAAAGTTTTTTTAAAATTTCATGACACGACTGATAACATTAACGACAAGAATAGAATCGCAGCACAGCATATGCAAGCCAACACGCCGTATATAAGTATATGTCGTCAGATACAGAAGTAAGAAGATTTGGCTGACCAGTTTCGGCTGTTCATAAAGACGATACTCGGATCGACATTTTCACCAAGAAATTTCGGGTGGTGCAACTCTCAAAATTGCACGTGCACAAAGTATTAGAGTGAAAGAGTTTTTTATTTTCTTTTTATTGGCTATGGAGCGGAAATACAACACGTGAAAAATGAAATGATATCTAGGAAGAAGGAACAATCGTTAACAGTAGATTAATTAGCACTGAAAAAGAGTAATTATGGATTCACGTAACTTTTCTACGACGAAAAATGATTACGGGAGAAAACGTACCAATATCATGCTTTAAGATTTTTCGTTGATTGCAACAAAGGTTTCTTCTCAATCGTTAACTTTACATTGAAATGATGGATCGTCCGCGGTGCTACAGATCCAATATTTTAGAGGCTCGATTTCGTCCATTTTTGTTTCTGTTAGTTCACCCAAAGTTTTGCTCTCATTAGGTTCGTCTTTATGTTGTTGACCCATTCTTAATTTGAGAACTTTGAAAGAACGATAGTTTAATGTATGAGGAGGGGCAAACGGTGGAACATAATTTGCTTGGATCACGGTGAAAGAAAATGCGTGACAATAAAAAGCTTTTTCTGATGTTCGATGGACTCTCTCTCATGGTGTCAAGATTCTTACCTCTAGCGTTCACGACCTCTTCTTTCCGGAGCTGGGCAGATTTTTTGGCGATCTCTCGCTTTAGCAACTCTATGAGTGCTGTAAGAATCGCATGGTTAATGACAAGTCGTGCATAATTTTAGTCACTTAAAGCTCACCCATTCTGCCTGGTGTTATCTTGTTCGTGGGCCTTTGGGGTGCACTTGATGACTCGATCGTCGCTAAATTGATTGATTTCATTATATTATATTACAAAGAGACATCTGATATCCAAAATCTGGAATTTACGCACCAAGATTGTCGGGATCGGGTGTGGGAAGCACGTATTCCTGTTGTTTTTTCGACGGTTCAATTATTTGTTCCGTGCACGCGTTTTGACTTTTGATGACTGGTAGAAGCACGTGATTGCGATCGATTATAATGTGAATGTAGGGTGCAAACAAGTTTCAAAGAGTATTTATTACCTTCGATAACCTTATTCTCCCTTGCAATGAATCCTTCAAGGACGACACTCTTATCCTTGGGATTTATTATCGCTTTGAAAGAATATCGTATGAGAAATTGTTTGTAAGAAAAAAAAACAGAAACAAAAACAAAAAAAAAACAAACAAAAAAGCAAAAAACAAAAACGGGAAATAATAATAATGCTACAGGGAAGAAAGATAAAAAATTTTTACCGAGTCGTTTTGGCCTAGGTGGAGTCCACCAGCGTTCGTTCTGAGGATGAGGCTGTCCAAAAATAAATCCGGCGTGTGCTATTTTGTCGTCGAAGAAAGTAAAGGTGTCACGTCGTTTATTGGGTGAAGTGATTATCAGATCCAAAAAGATGCTGTATGTTACCAATTCTATCATCCCCAGGTGGAACGAAATATTGTTGCCCAACTGATGGTTGATTGAAAGTTGCATCACTGTAGAAGAAAGGATTCATCATGGAAGTTGCAAACCCAAAATCCAAAACTCGTCAGTTATCTCAAGTGAATCCGCAGATTTCCATATTTATACCCGTTGATAAACTTTGATGTGACGTATTTAGCCAGATACGCACGATATACAGGTTTTGCTGCGTTCAAGGTTTTTGAAAGATGTAATAATAACCAACGAGTTAATGTGCATTTACTATATTTTGTCACTTGCTATTTCAATGGATCGAAATTCTGAGCGCTTTAAGTGGGTTTTCTATGCGCATCATGTTGTTTCTAGCATGATCCGAATCGCTTACAAGTACAATGATCGCGCCAGTTAATAACCATTGTAACTGGATAAGGATTTGTTTTTCCTTAAAGTTTTTATACTATACATGGTACATTCAACAACGTTCATAATTATAGAACTAAAGAATCTTGACACAACGAGTCGTGTTATCTACCCAATTTTCGCAAGTTGACTATTCACTATTCTTGCAAAAATTCAATGATTCTTGTTTTAATTCGTTTTACGTATTTCTGTTCTCACATATCCATTTACTTTCACGGGTTTGAGAAAATGTCAACTTGAAATGTACAATATTTTTCAAGGTACGTAGTAAAATATTTAATCAACTGCCACGAGGTGCGTGTACGTAATCATGATCATCTCCTTTAAATGCCCCGAATCATGATTCATCACTTCAGATGACAGGTTTCCATTCATCTTTCTTTCCTATTCTGATCTTATTATTATTATTATTTTACTAACAAAAGGCTTTCTTGATAAAGAAAATTTCGAGGAAGTGTCAGATTTCATAAAACTTCTTGATCCTTCTCAACCACGTAAATCAAATGACGCTTATCACGTTCAATAAAAAAGTGCGAATATTGTGTTATGCGGAGATTTTTAGAATATAAACCGGATTGGTTTAATGCGCCGTATGCGAAATGCTGTAGGTACAAACAATGTATTTATAGTTTCCTCCTTTAATGAAACACAGACAATGGTCGTAACTTCGCCAATCGCCTTTTTTTTGGTAATTGGCTTAAAAGACATCCGTTGCAAAATCCAAATTTTCAATTTTAACAAACTATATAAAGTGCATGTGGAAATCACAAAGTTTTATTTACACGTCGTACAGGACGATCAACAGGTGCCCGGGTGCTTTTTTCCGGGCAACGTTTGAGGTCTGTATCTCATCAATAGGTTATTTGTACTTCAGTAAAATTATTTGTGCGTGATGAATTCGTTTCTCCACCATTGCCTTCTCTCTCCAAATATTACGATACTCGATGAAAGGTAGAGGCTAAGAGTTAAATTATGATTTTACCAACCAACAACAACAAGATTCGTAGGCAGACCGTGATAGATACCGCTTGGGAGAAGGCATTCTTGCAATTAGACATCAAAATTCACTATGAACTTGAAGATCAGGCGGAATTCGTTCAAAATTGCCTTCGCAAAGATTCATCTCTCACAGAATCCGAAAGGAATTATTTGATCAAGAAACTTCAGGAAAATGTTGACGACGTCTCCGTCAAGCTAGACATAGGTTACACCCGCGTATGCGAAAATTGTCTCGAATTGACTCATGCCTACGATTATTGCGAACATTGTATTCGCGCATACCTGGAAAGCGATTTTGGAAATTGGACGTCTGGCGATGATACCATCGATGATCTAATAAGGAAGTGTCAGAGCAATCCTATTAACCCATCAAATATCATAGAGAATTTTCAATGCGTGGAATATAATACAAAAGGTGGTTGTTCCACCATTTACTCGGCGATCTGGAAGAATGGATATTTTTTTAAATGGAACAAAATTACACGTGAATTAGATAGGCATCCAAATTCTCCTGTGATTCTTAAAAGGTTGATCGGCTCGTCCCGCCATCACGGTAGATGGTTTGGAGAGGTGTGTACGTGACTTTTTCCCTTAATTTTTGGAAGCACTCATTCATTTAACATTTACTGTACTTTATTGTTACGCCTATCCACTTTATACACCTACATGCTCTCATCGCCAGATTACTTCGCACTTCACGATCGACAACACTTCGCGATACGTAGTACAGTGTTATGGGGTAACACGCGAACCAATAAGTCATGACTTCATGTTAATCTTGGATCGTATGGATGGTGATCTGGGTCAATATGTAAGAACCTACTTTCCTTCCATGACGTGGATCCAAAAATATAATATCATTAGAAACATAGCAGACAGTTTAAATGAGATTCACTCGGTAGACTTGGTTCATCGAGATTTGCACCCCGGAAACGTATTGTTGCACAAACGATCCATGGTTTGGTATATAAGCGATCTAGGTTTTTGTGGTCCCATCGACAAACCTACCGACTGCATTTATGGGAACCTTCCGTACATTGCTCCGGAAGTAATAAAGAAAAAGAAATACACAGCCAAGGCTGATATGTATAGTCTTGGTATGATCATGTGGCAATTATCATCCGGAAGGCCGCCATTTCACAACAGGCTACACGATACGGATCTTGCTTTCGACATTATAAATGGAAAAAGACCAAAAATTGTAAAGGGGACCCCTCCAGAATATGTTGCTATAATGAGACAGTGTTGGAACGCACATCCAGAAAAGAGGCCTGATACAGTAAAGATCCTGAAGAAGATGAATAAGATTTACATGAAATTGTATAACATTGAACTTGACAATGGACAAAAAAGCCATTTGTCCATTCCGGCCAAAGTGAAAGATCTCTTCATCAAACTTTTTAGGACCTCAAAAAATTTACCTGCTGAAGTGGAAATTCCTACAGACTTGAGCGCAAAACCAAATCATGAGATTGTAGGGTTTATTCCAGCTGTTTCCAGCTCGGAATTTTGCACTAGCCAGTTGCACCATTTCAAGGATTTGCCCGAACCTAAAAACATGATTCCAGGTATTTGTTTTTACGATCTCTTTTTTTTTTTTTTTTTTGTTGCTCTATTTGTTTTTGATCAATGAATTTTATTTAAAGATGAAGAAGGAATCGAAGAGGAAAGTGAAGGTAAGAAGATAATTTGTTTCGTTCGTCACATTTTTCAAGGAAACTAAAAATCCAACATTTTTAAAACTTTGCCACACAGATACGGTTCAATATTATTTGGAAATTACTGAAGGTAAGTTATTTTCTTAATCAAATGTTTGTTTGAATTATGGATTTATCTATCTATTATTTCTACGTTGCAGGCATGGAAAATCAACTTGAAAATGAAAAGGCTGCAAATGAAGGGGTCCTTAATTTTTGAAGCTTTTATATTCAACATATTTTTATAGCATACACATATATAATTAATTAATTCTGTAACATATAATTGTATTTTTATAACATAGCATATTCACCGCAATTATTTCTTTAATCTACTCACTCTCGGTAAACAAAGTGTATGCATAATGTACACTATATACAGTATAACAATATTCCAGGAAATAATTTAAGTTTCGTCAAAAATCACGTACAGATAGCGAGGCCCCGCGCCGCGAAACTTATAAATCGCGCGTCATTAACAACCAATTACGTAGAAAGAAAACATATTGTCGGTTCTCGACGACGCGACCTTCTTGTCTTTCGCATTAACCATTGTAGATGCCAATTAAATAAAGTTTATAATCCAGGCCTACGTAATAATAATCCTAAATTATGTATACGGCATCATTTTGAGTTGCGACCATAAATTAAGCTATGCAAGTGATCGTTTAATCAATAATTCACTTGATCATTGCTAGATAATGTGAGATAATGTGTATTCGCATTTAACATACGATTTGGAATGAAAAATTGTCCTTCGAAGATGCGTGCTTTTATACTGTATAATTAGAAAAAAGAAAAGGATAATATTAATTCCATTCAGTTATTTAATTAAAGTCATGTAACCATAAACAAATCATGTATTTTGTTGAAATTACTTATAATCTTTTAGAACCCTTGAGAGAAATTATCCGGAGAACAACTTCAGGACGAGTAAAAAAAAAAAAAAAAAAGTAACGAGCAGGAATAAACGAATACGCCATGTGTTTGTTGTTTTTAATGATTCAACTGCAAAAAATTTTAATGTTCAACCTTTAAAAATGTTTCTTTGTTCAAGGTAACGATCGGCGCACATTATCCACATGCACCACCCCTTGCCATTCTTCGCTTCAATTCTTTTGTAGAAACGGGATTTTTTATTGATACATTATCGCCTAACTCATGATTTTCGGTTATCCTCACTTCTGCAATGAAACACATTAGTTTGCGATTTTGAGACATGGGAAACGCAAATTCCAAAAAAAACACCTACTAAATTTATTTTCTTGTTCATTCAAAACTGCTTGCGCCACATTCACTCTTAAAAAATTTGCTGCCTCTATTGCTTGATTGATGTACTTTTAAAAAAAATAGTAATCATTCCAATCGTATATTAATATCAAAAATAGTAGTCATTCCAATCATATATTAATATCATGATATTCTACTCGAGAAATTTCAATTTTTATTCATTACCTCATTGATCTTTGATTCATCATTCTCATCTTTATTCTTTAGAAACTCTTCATTCGTCTTGCGCCTCGCTTCTAGATTGCTCGAACGCATTTAATTGATCTAACTATGAGAAATCAAAAGAAAGAATGAGGGATTGTACCTGAAATCGCGTGCAAGTCACCTTTACCCAACAAGTTGAAATTCAAGGTAGCGTGATTAATAATCGATTAAATCTAGGTTAATCGCAACGATTAAGATAGGTCACCGTCAAAAGTCTCCCGTTGCGCTCTCAACAATCTTTTATAAACATTAAGTACCACATATCTTGTATTGTTGGCGGCACTTGTCGAGGACATTTTAATGATTGAAAATAAGTTAGGTGAAAGAATCAATGTGTAAAAAAAATTTCGGTGATCACTTATCATGAAATTGCACGTGGGTTTCACATAATGTTATCTCGAAACTCGAAAACTCAAATATAACGAGTCAAGGATTACCGGTAAAGGTAAAATGATTAATAAGAGGAACGTGATGATGAATTTTAAACGTTTAAAAAATTGTTTGGCGCCGGTGAAACGCAAGCATTCTTTGGGAATTTCTTTTGGAGTTTCTGATTTTCTTTAATCAAATTATTTAATACCAAAAATTTTTTATTTTTAATTGATAAAATTATTGTGATCAATTGGTAAGTTAACTATTTGCTTTAAGCTTTACTTATTAAATTAAATTATTGGATTAAATTATAAGTAGATAAAAAATTTTAAACACCAGTACATAGTACGCACAGTATATACAATTAGTATTAATTTTTCTTAACGACTTTTTTTTAATGGTGAGTTTATTATTAATACTTACAACTTTTCACAACTCTAGTATGTATATATTCTCTATCCAAGAAAACAATACACGTAAGACGTGTAAAAATTTGTCGACAAGATGAAAACCTTGAAAATCAAATTGCTAAAATCTATCTAAAAACAATGCGTGAGTCGAACACCTATTTATATGCCAGATAACTGCTGCTACTCATATATTTTTACTTTATACTAATTTTGACCGTATTTTTTATCATAAATTGTTCGTGTAATGCTATAAGTGAGTTTTAATTAATTCGCATAATGCTGATTTCAAATTATATAATATCCTTTGTATTGACTCTTATAATATAAAAAATTTGAAACTAATTTTGGGTATAAAAAATCATTAAAACTCGATATATGAGTATATGAGATAATGGTTTATATCATATAGTAATTTATTTTTATTTTCTATTTGAATGATTAGGTATATTATGATATGAAATTTGAAATCAGAAAGTAAAATAATATACAGTATATTTATCAATGATAACCGAAAAATATTTAAACGGATTGCAGACTTTCTTAAATATTTTAAAGTAACAATAAAAATAATATCAACTTCAAACTATTTGACTTTTTTTTTTTTTAATTGTATCTTTTAGTAAATATTTAAATTATGCCATCAACAATAAAAAGTTGATAAATTAATAAAAAAAAGCAATCAAGGTTTGTTTTAAAAAATTTTTAAGAATGTTACAATCAAGTTAATAAAATATATTCGATAATAATTATCTTAAAACTAATATTTGAAATAAAATATATTAGAAAAATAATTAATAAGAATTATTTTATTTATTCTTTTTTTTTTTTTTTAAAAAAAAACAAATTTATTAAAATATTGATTTATAGCTATAAATAAATTGGACATATATTTTATAATAGAAATATTCTATTATTTTATATATTAAAGTTATATTTTTAACTAAATTTTAAAAATAAAACTTAATTATTTATCAAATAAATCACTATAGCTTGTTATTAAAAAATTATAATAATCCATATATATATTTATTTATTTATTTATATCATTTTTACTTTTTAAATTAAAACTAATAATTTAAAACTTACTTGATATTATTTTTTCTTATTTACTAAATATTTTTTATAATATCTATTATATAATAACATGCTTATTAAATATTTACTATATATAAAGTTTTAAATATTATTAAACTATCTTTTATATAATTTATTATAATTTGCTTATAAAATAATTATATTAAATTAAATCTTAAATAAATATTTTTTAAATTTTATTTAAACTTTATTTTTTAATATATAAATTTTTACCTATTTGCTAGAACTTGTAAAAATCTATTATAAAATAAAATAACTTTAATATTAAAATCAAATAAAATATATTAAAAAAAATTTTTTAATTAATCTGTAATTGATATTAAATATGTATATTTTTATTTATTAAATTGTAACTTCATAAATTTTGTGAAAACAAATATTCTTTAAATAGATATCAATTATCTCATACAATATATACTGTATATGTAAATTAATGATTACTTATCATAATTAATCCAATTAAATCTACTTGTACTTAGAAAATAAATAAACCAATTAAATATTGAATAGTAAAATATAAGATTATTAATAATAAGTTGTAATTAGTTAGTATTGAACTTGAATTTTTTATTTTTTACTAAACTAATATGACTACATATATAAGTTATCTAAAAGAATTTTAAATATCACCAATATATTCAGATATTGTTTACACAAATTTCAAAAAAGGTATATTATCTTTTTTATTATTATTATTTTTTTTTTAATACCCGTAGCCAGGCTAGATCATCAGTTTATTAATCAAATGAAGACAAAAGTACATTTTCATTCGAGCAGCATATTACATACTATAGCTAAACTATTATTCTAATCTAACTAACTTGTCGTAAGCATAAAAGCCTCTAAGTTCGGCCTTGAGGACAATATTTCGCTCCGCAGTGTCTTTGGGTAAAAACCCTCCTAGTCCACTGCATCATTGCCAGCAGGTTGTCCCTGCCGTATGTCTGACCAAGCCGCTGGAATACAGGAAACTACAAAAGGATGGGTTGAAAAAAAAGGGAAAGGGGGATATCTAAAAATGTCTAAGTAGACAACAAGAAAATGAAAAAATAAAAATTGAACAAAATTTCCAGCTTCCTCTAAAGATCTACTTCTCAAGACCTCTTCTCAATAAGAAATGCCCAATTGGAATATTCTTTCTTTTCCTGACCATCTAAGGAACTTATTCATTCTTGATCTTGATTTTCTTCTTGTGTACCGTCTGAGAATACTTATCGCCTAGTGGAAGCCTTTACTTCCAGGACATACTTGGTCCCAACCTTCTTTGAGCAGTGATTTTTTATTCATCTGCAGTAAAGAGATGACTTATGATGAACCCCAGATTCTTATGTGACCTAGTAAGGACTAGGCCATGTTGTTTCAGTATGATACCTTCCAGCAGCCATACCTAATTAAAGGAATTTTACTGGTATACATCTTCTATTATCCAAAAGGTCAGATTCCCCAACAATCCTTTTGCCTTATAATGGTAGGAGGATTCAAAGAGTGGTGGGGATCCTCGTCGATTGCGATATCCTTCAACAACTTCTGGAGAAATGCATTCTCAACTATAATTAAAGTGTTGAAGCTTAGCATGGACTAGAGACCGTTTGGTCTTATTGCCTGACCGGAATAAGGGGGAGACCTTGGTCTTGAACTTTGCCTGACCGGAATGATAGAAGAGAAAGACCTCAGCTTGAACATATAGTAGCTTTTTTATTACCTAGGAACTTGTTGCTTGCATCTTATTGGTCTCATAGAACTTGATCTGTAGGTTAACCCAATTGGAGGAGTGGGCGGACATGAGGCACCAATTAACTCTTTCTTTCACCAATGACGTCATTGGAACACGTGAGGTGACCAATAGGAG